TCAGGTGTAGTTGGGGAGTAGGCAAAATGGCATATACAAAGGGGTGTTCTCCTCCATCAAAATCCCTTGATGGCAGAAGCAGCAAACACCCATGATTACTACTTCTTGATAGAACTAACAACATGCTGCATATCTGGCAAACTTTGGATTTTATTCCTGGTTGAAATTTACTTTCTGAATAGCTCAGCTATCACTAGTCTTCACTAGTCTTGTTTTTGAAACACAGGCCTCGTGCGTTTTCAAAACAATACCAAACTCCTGTATGTCAGGAGCCTATGTAAGATCCATCAAGCTCTAGAAGGTTCCAGTCAGCATAATAAGGGCAAATACCTCTGTGGAAGCCAAGTGTGGTTATTTCAGACAGCCCAAGGCAAAGTCATTTCAGGTGGGTCGTTTCAGGGAGAGAGGCGCTCCAATAGCCTAAAGTTGGTAACTGTGGTAGAATTTCCAGGTAGGCTGGAGGGAGGAGTTAAGAAGGGATTGAGTTTGGAGTCATTGCACTGCAGGAAGTGGCACACGTTTGGTCTTCTCCAGAATCCTTGAGGCTTTATTTAACTGTTCCCAAGGGAATGCAATCAGTTTGGCAAACGTTTTGTAACATAGTTGGCTAGCGATAAAATTCCTGCTGAGATTCTTCAGAAATGGTTCTGGTTGCTTTCGCCTGATACTAACAGGACCTGGGACATTTCCATATCATCAGTGAAGCACAGCTGGCTGATGAATTCTGGGAGTTGAAGTTCACAAGTCTTAAAGTTGCCAAGGTTGGAGACCCCTGTACTAGATCATTTCTACCGCAGGAATTGTAATTTAATTGTATTAATTGCAAAACTATATTTTTAAAATTGGAGCATCTAACTTGGAGCAACTATAAACTTAACCATAGCATCAAAGCAGTTTCATGCAGACACGATATAAAAAAGGATTAACAGGGCACAATGATGCTCTGCTTACAAGCAGATAAGAGGTCAGAAAGATTTTTAAACATTTGAAGATTTATAATGTAAAATATAATTTATTTCACACAGTTATTGTTGGAAGAAGGGTTTTGAGGCACCCTAATATATCTGACCACGTTAAAAGATTGCAATTCTTCAGGCCTGAACAAACTACTTTATTATGCTTTTTGATGTTCAAAGGATTTTATACTACAGTATATTACCTGATAATATTACACCTCAATCCTGCAAGAGGGGCACTATTATTCCCATGTTGGAGTAACAAACTCAGAACCTTTCTGATATTGTTGAACTCCTATTACCAGCACTGCTTACAATATTTCATTTAGTAACCATTTGAAGTTACAACGCTACTTATGACAATTTTTCACATTTGACTGTTGGGGCATCCCCATGGTTATGTGACCAAAATTCAGATGTTTGGCAACTGAGTCCTATTTATGGCAGTTTCAATATCCTGCAATTATGTGATCACTTTTTGCAAACTTCTGACAAGCAAAGTCAATGTGGAAGACAGCAGGGGTGGAATTCAACCGGTGTTATTACCGGTTCGGCCAGAGTGCTATGCGTGTGTATAAAACAATTGCAAAAAAACATCAGCTTTGCTACCTGGACAGCTGGCAGGTGCTGCGCACAGGTGTGTAGCGTTTGGCAAGCCTCTTTTTTCCTGCTTTTTCAACCTCAGCTGTGCCGCACAAAGCAGCTGAGGTTGAAAAAGCAGGAAATAAAGGTCAGGTAAGAGCCCGGGCATGTGGGTGGGCCAAACAGCAGCAAACTTCGAACTGGTTCGGTGTCTGCTGCTCTTCAGAGCTACCGTCTCTATGGAGCCAGGCAGAACCGGTAGCTTCCCCCCCTCCCCGGAAGACAGATTCACTTAACACCCATATTACTAACAACTAACATTCATTTAACAACTGTGGCAAGAAAGGTCATAACATGGGCCAAAATCCATTTAACAACTGTCTTGCTTAGCAACAGAAATTTTGGGCTCAGTTGTGGTCCTAAGTTAAGGGCTTCTTGTGTGTACCTGATATAATTCTGCCACATTTGAACGAGGCCCAGATTATCTAATTATTTCCTACAGGTACCCATCCAATTCAGGTCAGAAGATCCTCTTTTGTGGCAGGCCTCCTGTCTCTCTTGCTTATTATTTAGATTAGCCTTTGTGTCTTGACACAAGTTTCTTTTTTCCGGAACGATGCGCTTTTGCAGAAATCTCTGCCTTCCATTTTGGAAGCATGAGGAGCTCTGAAGGAATAAAAAGAAAAGCTCTGAAGGAAGAAATAAATGAGGGTTGCTTGGAATAGGAGTTTAGCCCTCCTGGGAAGGAGAAGTGGCTGCACTTTGCTGTTTGAACCCAAATCCGGTTTCTTTATCTTTAGTTGATAACCAAGACCGCCTGGCCCTTCGCTTCGGGGAACCGTTGGTGGACCCAGACATCGCTCGAACGGGAGTTGCTGTTGTCCTGTGTATGGGCGGAGTGTTATTCCTGGTAATCATGGGCGCGTAAGTATTGCAAACAGCCTGCCTTAGAAAGCAATTTTTGGTTTAAAGGTTTAAAATTTTCTTCCATAGCAAAGGTGATACAAACAACTACACCTCGTGAAGATTTTTGAGAGACATTAATTCTGCCTTTCTTCTAGGATTATTGTGTACTGGAGAAGTCAGCTGTATCGGTATGTTTAGCTGTGATCTACCCCTTCCTCACTCCTGTGACATCTGCTGACTGAGATTCACTTAGACCTTCAGAGTGTCAAGCCTGACCAGCCCATCACAATCTTCAAGACACCTTTACTCACAGATTGGTATTCCCACATATTTTGTCTTCTGATCCTCTTCCCCGTAATAAACACAAATATCTTTGTGATTACAAACTTACTCCATAATTTATTCTAGTCTGCTCAAAAAAGAAAAGAAAAGACAGATGTTCTTCTCTGTACAAATGGATGCCTTTTATTTAGGCTTGTCAGCTGAAGATCAAGAATACTTTGAATGAAGAAAAGTGGCTGAAATGGCCTTCTGGCCTATATATGCAATTAATAGGCCAAAGATTTTAGCAGCATGCGCTTCCTGTACTTGAAACACACCATGTACCTGGAAGTGAGGAAATATGGTTAGGAGAGAGGGAGGATTTTTAGATCTGAGTTCGAATCTACATATAATAACAGACAACGGTGGTCGTAAATTATACTATTCTGCTTTACAGGTCATCCTCAACTTACAACTATTCATTGTCACTACAGTAGCATTGACATGACTGATCCTCGCACTTACATCACATGTTCATGTGATCAAAATTTGGCAATAGGCAGGCATGCATTTACAATAGTTGCAAAGTCCTAGGATCATGTGATCACCCTTTGCAATCTTCCCAGTCAGCTCCCAACAAATAAAGTCAATGGGGGCAGTCGGATTCACTTAACAACTGTGGTAAAATCTGGCACAACCATCTTGCTTAGAATCAACAACCATTTTACTTAGCAACAGAAATTCTGATCTCAATTGTGGTCATAAGTCGAGAACCCACTGCATAAACAAATAAAGTAATCTACATAATTTCTTGACCAATAAAAAATAAAAGGGGAAGGATCAGTCCAAACCTTTCAGATTTCTGTTTGCTTTCTTTCTACCATATTTTCATATTGCCTATATATACCACAGGATGATCCTGCCCAAATGTCAACTCATAAAATATTTTGTATACACGTTTTATAGTTGACAACAGAAAGAAGGGGGGAGAGTTTCAAAGAGCAGGCAGCAGTGTGGAATCGAAAGTACATTCCATTAATATTTTCTTCAAAGACTGATTAGATGACTGAAGCTTCTGCCGCACAAAAATCTAATTGGAGAGCATGTTTGATGACTCTTGGCTATGGATGTTTTTCGTTGGATGATATACAGCGGGGTGGGGGAAGCAGGATCAAGAGTGACAGTGAATTACGTATCTCAGAATTGGCTACGCCCAGGTTAATGCCGGACGTAGAATGTTAACTTCAAATAAATACTTTTTAGTTTGGGGAGTGTGGCTTGAGGCTCATAATTTAATTGGAGTAACTTGCCGGAATCTTGACACCATCACTGTTGTGTCCAAAAGGCATTACACAAGTATACATATCAGAGAACGTGACAAAATAGTCATACCTATGAAGGCATTCCTATTCTTTTTCTACAATGTTTTTCAACCTTGGCAGCTTTAAGATCTGTGGACTTTAAGTCCCAGCATTCATGCTGGCTAGGAAATTCTGGAACTGATATCCATATGTCTTAAAGCTACCAAAACTGAGAAAATGTGCTTTGGAACTCTTGCTTTTTTACTTTTTTAAAAATGATCAAAGTTTTCATTTTATAAATTTTAATTCTACAGAAACTCTTCCAGAGATGCATGGAATAGGAAGAGTGTCCAGATCCTTTAAGATAATTATCAGAGTTACAAGAAAATGCATTTCACTAATATCCTTTGATTTTTTTAGGAACAAGGGTAAGTAGGGAGAATTAATGATTGTATTCCTGATCATTTGGAAAAATTCATTGGACTTGGTGGGATGTTTACTCACACAAGTATGATTGAGGTTGTTATCACTGACTCGCAAACAAGGAACACATAAAGAACGATTTCATTGTATTCTGCCAGACGTTTGTCTTCCACTGAAGAAGAGAAATGTTTTTTAGCTTTTTGTTAACAAGAAGCTCAGCATGTAAGCAAGAAATTTTCACAGTTGGTGAATATTGGGGCTGCATAATCAATATTTTTCTATTAGACCATAATTGGATGGGCTCACTTTTCAAGAGATAAGCAGCTTCCATCACAAAAATTGTGTTTTGTTTTAGAGTCTTGTGTGAACCCACATAAAATTTAATGCTGGAATAGAGTATCTTTCTGACCCATCAATATCTTGGTCCAATTGCCTAAAAGGGCATCTTTAAAAAGGAGCAAGAAGGAAGGAGTACAGGTAAATCTTGACTTATGATTGATCCTGGATCACATCTTCGCATCTCGCTGTTTGAGGAAGTTGCACAACATTCTCAGAGACTCTTCCCATCCTGCTTACAATCTTTATGAACTGTTGCCTTTTAGCAGAAGATACAGAACAATTAAAACTCGGACCACACGTTTTCTGAATAGTTTTTATTCCAGAGTTATAATTGCACTTAACAATGAACTTAAGGATCACCATCGGTGAGCTGTTGGACAGTATTACTTGGTCTGTTGTGTGGATGCTTGTGTGTTTTTAGGAGGCGGGGAATTTTGGTGGGTGGGGAGATGTCTGGGGATTGTCATGTGTGTGTGTACATGTTGAGTATGGTCTCTGGGTGTTATGTGAATTTCGTTGTATGTAGACTCTGTATATACGTACAATGATAATAAATAATTCAATTCCTTTAATGACTGTTCGAAGTTATGACGGACCTATTTTAGAGCTAACCTTCCATCCTTCTGAGATTGGTAAAATGAGATCCCAGATTGTTTGGGGCAATATGCCCACACTGTAAACCGCTTAGGGAGTGCTGTAAAGCACTATGAAGTGGTACATAAGTAAATGCTATTCTTATTGCCACTTACAATCCAGATTCCAAGTTCTGACAGCCACGCCCCCAAAGTCATGTGACCAAACTTTGCTCAGCAATCAAGGCTGCATTTACAGCCATTTGCACTGTCCCACAGTCATATTTTACAATGGTTTTACCAAAAACTACACTTACTTCTGGTTTTTGGCAAAAGGGGCTTCTTATTTTGTATCTGTGGTGGCCTCTCCTTACCTATGCATGAATAGATAGTATTCATGCATAAGGCACATCAGATTAAAGAATCTTGCTAATGTTTATGGCTAGCAATATGTTAAAGAATCTGGAGATGGGAAGACTATTTCAAAAGGCAACGGGTTGAGACACAGAATAAATTTTTTAAAAAAATCACCCTTCCCTTTCTCCATCCATACCTCCACAGACTTCTCCATCAAAACACTGTGTGGTGATACGTAGACATGTCCAGCAGTCCAGAATAGGCCCTTCTATCACTGCTGCAAAAGAAGAATGTCAGGGTTGGACTTCAAAAAAGCAATCCTTAAAGCATGCATCATCTAAGTCAGTGTTTCCCATCCTTGGCTATCTGTGTGGACAGCATGGCTGGCTGCGGAATTCTGGGAGTTGAAGTCCACAAGGGGCCAAGATTAGGCAACACTAGTGTAAGTAGTAAACAACTGAAGATGTGAGGGTCGAAACTTGTCTGATACTTACTGCAGTCCTCTGAACAAGCTAGAAGGTGCAAAGAAAAAGAAAAAAGGATTGTATTAGAGACGGAAAACTCTAAGATACTTTTTCCTAGCTAATACATCGTTGAATCACATGCCCAGGAGAACAGAATGCTAAGCAAGCAAGAAATTCAACAATACAGTATCGAGACAGTGGTCCTGGGATGTCTCACAGGCTTTCAAAGGACAGTTTTGATATTGGTATCTTCTAAATAAAATTAATATCTTTCGAACTGATGGGTGAATGCAAACCTAAGCTAGAGTACTAAGGAAGGGCACTGAATAATATATGGGATATTTTGGATTCTGGATAGAAATAAATTCCAACTCTCCCCCCAACTCCGACCCCCACCCCCCGGCTTCAGGGCACTGAGGAACCCTACATAAATCTTGCTTCATTACGACAAAGGTCCACAATTTCCATAAGGAAAACGCCATGTTTCTTTCTGCCACAAAAGAAGAGCAAAATTCAAGATGGCAGCTATAGTTGCAGTCATCATTTGAATTTCTTCAACATATATCCACTGACCCCCAGCAGATACCCCCAATTTTCTGCCCTGATAGTATCAAGGAATTCTGAGGGCAGGTTCAAAAGGACACACAACTTGCAGAAGCATCATTTCAAAGATGCCTTTAAAGGCAAATCAGGATTTGGATGTCTTCTGCTAGGGTTTACTCCCATCTCCTGTGCTGCAAATGCTCTTGATACTTTTACCTAACTATAGATTTGGCGATACTTTTTTTTCACAATCCAACATGGCTGCTTATTTTTTGGAGCCCCCCCTACCTGTACACCATTCCATTTAACCTGGAACACTTACTATAAAAATAGAAATTCATAAAACAGTATTTTCCAACCTTTAGGATGTGTGGACTCCAACTTCCAGGATTCCTAGGAATTGGAGTCCACACATTTTAAAGTTGCCAAGATTGGAAAAAGTTATCATAGTTATTAGATTTGCAAAGTGGTGTGTGTGTGTGTGTGTGTGTGTGTGTGTGTCCACATATATATGATGGAGATCTGTTGTGTTGGAAGTTTTGCCTCCTCTTTGTTCACTCTTCAGGATTGGTACCAAGATCAGCAAATTTCTCCAGAATCTGCTGAATCTTCTTTCTCAAGGCAAAGCGTAGCTGGTACATAGAGAACTGCCACAGAAAAACTCCTAAGGGGAAGGTAAAAGAGGAGAAAAATGGAAGAGATGATGATTCTGAGTAAGACTGGGTTGGAGAATATTCAAAAGTATCAGTAGAATTTATAGCTCAACATGGTTGGACTACCCTAGTTGGGAAATGAAATGTCTGCAAGAAAATGACCAAGCTCAGAGACCACTGAAGACCCCACAGATTCAGAAGTGTTCCACATCTTATGTAAGTGCAGATCTCTTTTATTAAAACAGCCTGTCTTTGAACTGTGGTGAAGTGTTTTTGTGGCCTCCAACCATAAATCAGTAAAGCAAGCAGATGTAGCTGCTTCAAGGAATTCAATCCCAGAACTTAACACAACTCTTTAAGCAGTGGCACGTTTTGCTATGTTTGTGTAGAAGTCTGAGGAAAAACCAGGTTGCTTTAATAAGAGAGAGATGCTTCCTTCAGGATAGCCCTGAAGTCCTTCTGAATGTCTTTTGATTCCAACATAGTCTTTTCAATTCAGATTCCTTGTAGGTTGGTTCTAATTCCATTATGACCACTCTGAGCTAAGAGTTGGAAGGAAAATGGCTTTTCCCCCTCTCCTGCAAGACTATTGAGCACAGGTGTGCAGCGGAGGATCTACAAACTAAATTTTCAGCAGAATAGTTTTTGACAATTGATGGTGGGGAGAAGGGGTGAAATTAATAATAAGGACAGGTGCATCTACCTGGCTTCATAGCATCGTATGGTGGTTAAGGTTTTATCCAGGATCTTTCAAAACAAGGGTCAGGTGGACACAAAATATGGTGGTGACAAATGGAGGCTTCTGATTTGAGATTGATGTCTGCAGAAACTCAGTTGTCAATCCTTCTCTTACTGTGTTGTGAGAACTGAACCAATTGTGTTCTGTTTAGTAAACTGTTTAAAAATGCTATGCATTGATGCTGTATTTGAATCTATTCATTTAATGGAGGCAATGTCTGAGGCCACAAGATTTAAGACAAGATTAAGAGTGGAATTTTCCTAGTGATTTCAAGTTTCCAACATCCCTCACTAGTGACAGGTTGATTTATAGCTGCCAGAAGATGTAATGCAGCGGTATAGATAGTGAGTTCCTTCTCACCCCCTTAAGGTATGAAAGCTGGCCTGATGACTTCAGACCAATCACCAGGAGACTGTGAGTTCTAATCCTGCCTCAGGCACAAAAGCTGCCTGGATGACTTTGGGCCAGTCACCTTCAGCCCAACTACCTCACAGGATTGTTGTGGGAAAAATAGAAGGAAAATGTACTAGGTATCTTTAGCATCTTGAGTTATTTATAAAAATAATAAGGCAGTATGTATGTATGTATGTATCTATGTATGTATGTGTGTGTGTATGTGTGTTTGTGTGTGTGTATTTATTTTCTGCCGTTATTATTTTTATAAATAACTGAAGGTGCTAAAGATAGTTTCCAGCACTATTTATGGAGAATAGCCCACTTCAGTGATTGCATTTATAGGGATAATTAAGATAATTAAACAGGGGATTATTTCCTGAAGGCAGATTATAACCACAGTCCACATTCAGTTGCAATCCCTACCCAAGTTTCTTCTTCCTCACCTTTCCACTGCTTTCTTTTGATGGTTTTTAACTGGTTAATAATGTGTAATTTGATTTCGAACGCTCCTCTGACATCTGCAAAAAGATATTCAGAGATGTCATCCTCTAGTCTTGCCCTATTCTCCACCCTTCCCAGCCCTGAAGATTATTCGCCTTCTGGTCACACCTAAAATTCGCTCGTAATTCCTCCGAAGGAAGGTGCCGTGCAAATCTGCCAAGGCTTGGATGTGCCTTGTGATCAGGGAATCGCGGTTTGGAAGGTCACCTGGCAGGGTCTCCTTCAGCACAGACGCCACCCATTTCAAGAAATGGGGGTCACACTGAAGACAGCCGGCCACCCCCTGGAAGGATAAGAGCCATAAGAAGCAAGCCAGCAGAACCTGGAGTACCATGACATGGCCGACAGTTTACAAGACTGTAACCAAGGCAACCTCTTTCCTGAAGTCTGCAATCGCAGGGGAAAGTCCACCTCCGTGACCCAGGGAAACGTTGCCAAGGAGAAAGAACAAATCACTAGGCAATGGGTGTGAGCATTTGTGATGCTAGGAATAGAACAGGAAGTGATGTTTGATGCTGCATAAGCCATTGAAGATGTCATCTTGACACAGGAAGTGCTATTTTTGATTTCTGGTTCTCATGGCTACAGCCTTTCTGCTCGGATTACTTCTATGGGCTGTCCCCGTACAACTGGCTAGTACCTGCCTCCGCTGCTGGCCAGATGCTGCTGCATATTTTATTTACGATGCTAACTTGCTGCTGCAAAAGGATTCAGCTGCCTCTGATCATCTGGGGACGCTTTTCCTGGGAAATGTTAAAGAGCTTGCTTCGTATGGCAGTGGATATTTGGGTATATAAAATTAAGGGAAGAACTGAGCAGGGTTGCCTCTAATAGGAACTTCTGCTGAGTGTAAAATGCCCATTTCTGAATCAGACTATGCCCAGCTGAGACACAAATTCTGTTTTTCATGTCCATTTTGTGCTAGAGGTATAAGAGAAAGCCTAGAAGCTGAAAAACGTGCTCTTAAAGAACACGAGCATCTATACATATGAATGAATGAATGAATGAATGATCAATCTTTATTACAGCTCACATATTGACAAAACCGGCCCAGTAGTTTGAACATTTTAATGATTTCATTGAGTGGTTGTAATATAGAAATTAAGGTTGAAGAGAATGTGCTACAGTTAAAAATGTGTTGGGAAATTAGCTCTTCTAAAACATTAATGACAATAAAATAAGAAAATAATAACATCTTAATGTTTCAGAAAGCAGTTTTGCATTTTTCTCAAATTCAGCTTGTTGGATTATAGTTGTTTAAGAGAAATGCATCAAAATTTAGCCTGTTCACAGTAGTTGCCATCAAACAAAAATTTAGGGTTGTCTCTAAATATTAAAATGTCATTGGATTAGACAAATTAGTGTCAGGTCTTAGTTGTGACTTACTTAGAATGTATTAACAGTGTTCTGTATTCTGCAAAGTAGTGGATTTGTAAGCTGTGCAGATGCAGATAGATAAACTCAGCAAGACGTCCATAACCAAGTACATTTATTGGTTCATCAGGTATCCTCATAACTCACATTTGTGATGAAGTTCTTCTTTAATGACCAATCCTTTGCATATCTGTCTTGTAGGTAAAAAGATGATAGAGCCTCAACCCCATGATGATTGAAGCGGCTGCATGATATTAATCTTTCCATCCCATAGTCGTAGAGGTAGGGGGTAGAGCTGCTACCAAGAGGCTGTGTTCAGAGAGAGGAAACCTCCCCCAACCCCTCGAGGATCAATTTAGTGGCCAATCCGGAATCCAGATGTGGTCACATGATATGGACTACATTTCCCAGGATACCTTAACTACATTTACCATGATGCATTCCCTTAAGGGGACAGCTCACAATTGCTACACAGCACAGATATTAAAAACATTGAAGAGGTCGTCCAGCAAAAACTGCCACATCATAGCAAGCTAGTTTATACAGGTAGTCCTCAATTTACAACAGTTCACATAGTGACTGTTCAAAGTTACAATAGCACTGAAAACCGATGATCATTTTTCACACATACAACCATTACAGCATCCCCATGTCCTGTGATCAAAATTGAGATGCTTGGCAACTAACTCATATTTATGACAGCTGGTCATGTGATCACATTTTGTGATCTTCTGAGAAGCAAAGTCAATGGGGAAGCCAGATTCAGTTAACAACCATGTTACTGCAATGATTCACTTAACAACTGTGGCAAGGAAGTTTGTTAAGTGCGGCAAAATTCACTTAACAAATGTCTCACTTAGCAACATAAATTTGGGCTCAATTTGTGATCATAAGTCATGGACCATCTGTTTAAGATTTCCAGCCAATCGGGAATTCTAGACAGGCCAGGCTGAATTTGAGAAAATTATTGTTGATTTAATTAAAAATGTGCGTGTCTTGAAAAAAAAAAAGAAACAAATATTCATTTTTAAAAGCATAACACAAAATCTGTTTGCTAACTCATTCCAATGAAGGACTCATGAGGAACATTGCTGTATGCATATTCCAGATGTTCCAAAATGCATTCTTTGAATTTGGCAGAAAAACAAAACAAATACCCTACAGCTTTTCATGTGCCTGAGATGATCTGGGTGTGTCACAGAAAAATTTAAAAATTCTCTGCAATGGTTGAGAAAACAGGGACCCTTTCCAGACAAATAAAAACGGAAAAAATATATTTCTATTAAATATATAGTCCTACATGGATGCAAAGTGTGTTTGTGTTAGTTTAGTTCTGGGTTTAGCATGAGTGAATAATACACAAGCTGAATGACCTTCATCAACTTGGCATCATCCTCTAATGTGTTTGGCCGTGCTGGCTGAGAATACTAGTAGGCATTGCAACCCTAGTATTTTTTAAGAGTGTTAAACTGGAAAATTCTCCATTACGTAGTAGGATAAGTTCTAAGTTAGTCCTGGTCACTTTTGACAGAGTGGAAGAGTATGCTTGGAAGATCTGACAAAGTAAGTTCCCACAAACATTGTTTTCTGTGTTTTTCTCTGTCTGCAGAACGAGAACATATGGAACGGGAGGCTGGCAATCTCTTTCATCATCTCGAACTAATTATACAGAAAAATAAAAAAAGTAGGAACTGAATTACCCCTTTTCCTTCTACAAATTGCTTGTGATCTCATGCTATTATATGGTCTCTTAATACAGGGTTTCTCAACCCTGGCAATTATAAGATTTGTGGACTTCAATCCCCATGGCTGGCTGGGGAATTCTGGGAGTTGAAGTCCACGCATCTTCAAGTTGCCAAAGTTGAGTAATATCGCCCTAACATGTTCTGACTATCAAGAAATTTGTCTCTGTTTCCAGAAAATTAATTTGGTATTCCATACATTTTTCTTCAGTCAGAAGTGTACAAAGTTCAATCCTGCGTGCAGCTGTCCCTAAGAGCGTCTGGTCATGTAACTATAGTGGCAAAATGGCCTGGTTTGCAAGATTTGATGGGCTTTTACAGCTAGTCCTCGACTTACGTCTGATCACTTAGGGGATCGTTCAAAGTTGCAATGGTTGACCTCCTCCTCACCCCACCCCCATCATGTAATTGCATTTTGGGCATTCAGCAACTGGTCCTCATTTATGGCCATTTGTAGTGTCCCACGGTTATGGGACCACAACTTACGTTTTTTGTCAAAAACTGGCATTTAATTCTGGTTTCCAGCAAAAAGCACCCATTGCAGACAATGAATTCACCAGGGGTGGGATTCAAATTTCTTAACAACTGGTTCTGTGGGCATGGCCTAATTGTGGATGTGGTTTGGTGGTGATATGACTGGCTGGGCATGGCTTGTATGTAAATATTATAAATATTGATGTAAATATTGATTTTTTTTTTATAAAAAAGAGAAACTTTTACCCCAAATCAGGCAAAGCAGGCAGGCAGATTGAGTTGCTCCCAGAATCACAGATTCATTGAGAGATCTACCATTCTGCAATCTGCTATCTGAGTCTGAACTGAAAAATAGAAGCTAAGAAGGTTCAGCTCTGCTTTTAGATTATCTAGAAAGCAAGAAATCCAACAATTTTCTGCTTTCCAGCTAACCTAAATCTCCCAGCAGAGCAGAACAGCTGATGGTAGGGGGGGGAAAAGGAAAAATAGCAATTTAGCAGGCAGGTTTGATGGTGCCCATGCCATGTAAAGAGTGAGTGGGTGGGGCCAGCCAGTGGCCTGATTTGCCAGTTCTCCGACCAGGTAGAATCCCACCCCTGGAATTTACTTAACAACTACAGCTTTCACTTAACAACTATCATGTTTGCTTTACAACCAGCATACTTAGTTAATGACCACTACAAAAAAGGTTATAATATCAGGCATTGAAATGTGGTGACTTGATTAATAATTGTCATGATTTAATGACTGTAATTCCAGGCTCCACAATCACAGTTGTAAGTTGAGGATTACCTGTAAAAGAATGGGAATAAGTTGCCACTGAAAGATCCACACCCTTAAATCTCACTCTTACCGGTAAATCTCACCTTAATACAGGTTTATATATTTTTCTCACCAGAATGGAGATTATTCATTCTGGAGCTATTTCTGAATGTCCCTTTTTGGTCTTTCAAAAAGTGAAGATACTTAATTATGGCTTCCAACTCTTAAATATTACCCATCCCTTAATTAAACTCATACACAGGTTTCATTTTTTGGTGGGCATAATTTTAACTAATGCAATTAAGAATTGTATTAATAACAAACCAGTGCAATTAAGAATTCCATTGAATTCTCATTCCAACTAGAATTTTAGATGTTCTAGATCAGGAGTGCCCAACCTTGGCAACTTTAAGACTTGTGGACTTCAACCAAGCAGCTGGGAATTCTGGGAGTTGAAGTCTTCAGATCTTAAAGTTGCCAAGGTTGGATACCCCTGTTCTATATCATTATGAAATCAAAGATCAATTCCAACCATTACTCTAAGCAAAACATTCATTAATTGCCTCTTATTGCAGGTAATTTATTAATGTCCTTTCAATAAATTGTAATTAACTCTTGTAGAATACTTGATTTATTCATTATTTGCACTACATTTCCACAGCCTGAAGCAGCTGCTCCTTCCTCTATATCTCAAAGTCTTGGCCTCTTTGTCTCCCTTCTTTTTACCAAAAGATCATGAAGTCCTGATGAAGGAGGCAGAATTGGAAAAAGCAGACTTTATTAAACGTTTGGAAGAAGCATCTAATCTTTTTGTGAAGGAAAGTAGGTGTATTTTTCTGTTTCCTTCTCACAAATTCTTCCGTTTCTGTTCATTCAGAAAGCAGCCACATGCTGAGCCAGATCATTGATCCTTCTAATATAAAACTAACTTCTTGTGAAGGACAGACCTTTTAAAATATTAGTCAAGCTACAAGTAGCCTTCAAGAATCCAGACAGCTGTAAAATGAATAAAATGGATCCCTCATGATACCTGTTCTTTGCATCAACTCAGCTCTGAGGGGGGGAAATGTTTTTAAAGCTTTTGAAGAATTAAAACATTCGTGTTTGTGCTTCTTGGTAGGATGCTCAACTCAGCAGAGTTAGTCCAGATGCAATTACTGCATTTAAACTTCCAGTGTAGTTTGATGAGAATCAGTTTGGTCTAAGTGGTTAAGGCAGGACTAGAGTCCCAGTCACTCTCTCTCAGTCCAACTCACCTCACAGGGTTGTTGTGAGGAAAACAGGAGAAATGATTATTGGTTATGTTTGCTACTAGGGGTTATTTATAAAAAGGAGGGCAACGTATCAGGAAACAAACAAATAATAGTTTGCAATTCTGGAGAAATTATCTATGGCTCCAAGGTCAACACCTTCTCAATAGGATGTTTATCAGTAAACATAATCGTTTTTAATTCTGTGGTTTTGCTGGGCTTCTTTCCCAGGATAATGTTGCAGGATCCCATCTAAGTTGGTCACTGGGACCAGAGATTTATTTTTCCAAGTTTTCAGGCTTGTGCTGGAGCCCATCCTCACGGAACTTCTCTCTCTCCAGAAAGTGTGCATTGGACCGTTCTATGCATATTATTTATGTGGTGCTTGGTTGTATGTTGCTTTTAGAGGATCCCAAAGGCAACTGGACTTTCTGGTTTTTCTTTGAAGGCTGTTCAACAGCCCTGTCTCAACAGAGAGGGAGGGATACGACATCATCTATATCCAGCCTACAACACAGTCCTTTCAACAGTTCCAAGAAGGCTCCACACCATTAAGATGACCATATTGATAAACCTCCAGGTGACCTTAACGACCTGCTAAAAGAATGCAAATCACCAGCTGTCTGCAAGGAGTATAAATCCTTCCATCGCCCACCCTCCGGTCAGAGCTGAGGAAGCTTCTTGGATGAGAAGCGAAACATCTTCAAAGAAAAAGCAGAAAGTCTAGTTGCCTCTTTTAAAAAAGTCCCTTTGGGACAACCATGACTAAGAGTCTCCATAGCAGAGATGGTATTCAACAGGTTCTGACCAGTTCTGGTGATCCAGTAGTGGAAATTTTGAGTAGTTCAGAGAACCGGCAAATGCCGCCTCTGACTGGCCCCGCCCTCATCTATTTCTGCCTCCCGAGTCCCAGCTGATTGGCTGGGTCTTCTTTTGTTGACCTGCACAGGAGAACGGAGCTGGAAAGCAGCTTAGTGGGGTGGGGAGGGGATGGGGATTTTGCAGTAACCTTCCCCTGCCAAGCCCACCAAGCCACGCCCACCAAGCCACGGCCACAGAACCGGTAGTAAAAAAAATTGAATCCCACCACTGCTCCATAGGCATTTGTTTTTAAAGAATGGGCTTCAGCACGAGCCAGAAAGCTTGATGGTCCCAGTGACCAGCTCAGATTGGATCCTGGAGTTTTGGATTGGATTATATGTACTTGTGGTTTTTATTCATTTGAATATCAACACGATTTAAAAAAGAAAACAATATATGGCAGCAATGTTTTATTTCTGCTGCCATGTAGTGGCCACTTGGAATGTGGCAGCTCAGATCTGATAGCCTTACAGAGTTTTCCTGCTCCGCCTCATCCTAGGATCGCAGAACATGTTGCGATCCCAATAGTACAAAAATTGTGTCCGGCCTCAAAAGTAGCTGTTTGGGAATAGAAAAGTCTCTTTTGTGGTCAGTTTTGACTGACTTTTGGACATACGAAGGGAAATGTTTGAATCGTCCAGTTTTATTTTTCTTGTTAATGTTTACATTGGACTTGATCAACCCTTCAAAAATTGAATTGTCCTTTTTAAATCTGGATACGTAGCCACTGCACAGAAGAACCTAATGTTTCTTATGATACAATTAAGCTAATTTTGAAAGTCTCCCATTTCCTGAAAGGACCAAATTAGACATTAGAAGCAGCGAACTACTTCACCTCACGAGTCCTCTCAGAACAGAAAATGCTCCTTCGGGAGGAATGAATAGGATTCAAGAAACAATATTTGCCTTAAGGATGTTGATTTAATTTTTTTCATTGACAACTCCATTCTTCGAATCAAGAAGCCACATACATTGTTTTACATAACTTGTAAAACAGCTTTTTCTGTGTTTCCAGAGTCTGGCTAGAACAACCAATACAAAGCCAGTTCAGGAAAATTAAAATAGAAGCAGCATATGTGATGGTTAGAAGAGCTGGCAGCAGACTATTTAGTGCAGTCTCAACCTTGGCCATTTAAGATGTATGCACTTCAACTCCCATGCTGGCTGGGGAATTCTGGGAGTTGAATTCCACACACCTTAAAGTTGCCAAGGTTGAGAAATAATGATTTAGAGCAATGGAACATGCTAACAGAGACAACTTAAGACGTGGGCTGGGGAATAACTTTTTGGACAGGATACTGAATTTGTGACCAGGAGTGAAAGAAATTTGCTGGAATTCATTCTCTGATGCTCATCATTTCTCCCCATTTTATGTCTTCACAGTCTGCAGTTTTTCCTGTGGTGAGTCCATTTACGTAAACAGGCCATACATGCATCCTCCTGGCCCAAGAAACCCCATTTTAAAAGAAATTCTCCATGGTCCTGTGTGTGAATCTTTGCCTATTAGTAACAATGGGGTTCACTGGTTCCTCCTAACTGCAAAATGAACTCTTTACAGAGCCAGGCAAGGGAAGTATCTCCAGCAGCCATCCTGACAGGGCTGAAATCCCATTATAAATGGAGAATCAATTTTTTTTTCCACTTTCCACACTCTGGGGGAAAAAAGAAGAATTCTTATTTGAAATAAACAATATTCCCCCACCCAATATTTCCAAAAGTGTTGAACAATTCACACAAGTCCTCGTAGGAGCTGAGAATTAAAGAAACCCACAGTGGTTAGAATACAGTACTGCAGGCTACTTCTGCTGCCTGCCAGCTGCCTGCAATTGGGCAATTCAAATCTCACCAAGCTCAAGGTTGACTGAGCCTTCCATCCTTCTGAGGTCGGTAAAATGAGGACCCAGATTGTTGGGGGCAATAGGCTGACTCTGTAACTCTATAAACTGAAGTGGGATATAAGTCCAAGTGCCATTGCCATTGCTACTATCCCAGACTTATGGAGACAGTTTACAAATGTAGTGATGTCTATACAGGACCACAGGCTGAGCACTTCAGCCAGGTAGGTCTACATATGTTCTCCACCTCTTTATTCACGGGCTCATTTGTCAGCAAATCTACGAATAACACATTTTTCTTTTCTTTTTCCTTCCCTTGAAATTTGGCAAAATGGATGTCTGATTCCTTCAAGGAACGCACCTAATTCAATTTCTAGAACGTTCAAAAAAGAGGGGCAAAGGGCCAGAAATATCTGACTAATCCATTTCCGGGTAGTGGTCAAGTTATGGCTACCGTCCACTTGGCCTTCTAGCATCTGAAACAACAGGGACATGTACTCCTCGGACACAAAAATATTTTAAATTAATGGGACAAGGATTCAAAGAGGAGACATGACAACATTCTAGACTGACCGGGTCAATTTTATCTGGATTTCTAAAGGCAAAGTAGATAATGCGCTGATTAAATTCACTGAATGGGTGCAGACCCAGAGCAAGTCCATTGCAATCAGCAAAGCTTCAGTTTGTAATTACAGTATAACCCCATTGATTTCAATAAGTTTATTCTAAATATAATTAAATCTAGGCCTAAAACATAATCAGCTTGGGATGTGATTTGGATTATTTCAGATATAATAACAGACTAGATTTCCCTCCCCCCTTGCAACCAGCCACATGTAGGATGGCTTCGGTTTTAATCATGCCATCTCTGGTTTGAATTCGTCATGCTGGAGTTCAAAAACTATAATAACTGTTTCCCTTTGCAAAGGGTGGATGCTCATTTCATGTGGACTAAAGCATGACTTGTATTATTGTCTTAATCTTCTATTTGTAGATCAGGGCATGTCTGGCTGAGAACATGGGTGTTTATGTTGCACAGGGTATGGAGGTATCGATCTAACAGCATCTCCTCCATCACTTCCACAGGCCAATCGCGGTTTCGACCTTATGAAGTGGTGCAGTGCAGCAACTGCCAAATTCTCAAGGCTTCCTGCTATGACCTCAGAATATGCGCAGGTGATTGTCGTTTGCCATCTCTTTCTCCTTATTCCCCAACTTCTCCATCTCTCTTTGCCTCTGTTGAAACAAACTGCACGTATAGAATACCCTGAGATCCAATAATGGCGGGCTAGACATAAATTCAGAATCTCTTTGCGATGAAGAAGGAAATAGCACCAATGGGAAAATATATCAACCTATTTGTGACTCATAAAAAAGCTGCTTTAAAATGCATGTTTTTTTTTACCTCTGTGATTGTAGGGTAAAACCTAAGATTTTTGGGATGGCGCAGGCTATTAAACTAGTTGGGCAGCTTCAGGTAGATCACTCTTCAGCTTACATCAATTTTACAACATTGCTGTGGAATTAATACAGACATGGAGAGGAAAACTAGAAATACCCCTTAGTGGAATAGGATAAAAATTACAACAAAGCTTCGCCTTCGTCCCTCACTAATACATAAAATTATTTCACTCACTCTGGACTTCTTATTAAGGGAGTCTTAATTTAGCTCTTTTCCTTTCACTTGCTCGCTGCTAAGAAAAGAAGGAAAATTGGTTCAATAACACATCCACTTGACTGCAGGCTACTTCTGCTGACTGCCAGCTGCCAGCAGTTCGAGTCTCACCGGCTCAAAGTTGACTCAGCCTTCCATCCTTCCGAGGTCGGTAAAATGAGTACCCAGGTTGTTGGGGGCAATACGTTGTAAAATTGCTTAGAGAGGGCTGTAAAGCACTGTGATGCAGTATATAAGTGCTACTGCTGTTGCTATTATTTGTTTTTGATGATGTGTGGAAAATCCCCCCCCCCCCCCGTCTCCACTGAATCCCTTAACTGAATCAGGCAGGAACACACCCCTGAACCTTTGACCTGGCTGCAATCCTGCCAAGAAACCTGTGCCTGCAGGATTGTAAATTCCCCATAAAGAAATCCATCGCCTTCTAATACATAAGTTACCAATGTGCATAATGTTAATTACACTACAGCGAGCTTCCTTACTGGAAAAGTTTCAAAAACTGAAGTCCAAGAGATAAGATTTATTTCATAGGGATGTTAATGGAACATTGCCAGGTTTCTGTTTTGAACTTTCCCTTTTCTGCAGGACCCAATATTGTTGCAGCCGTGTTGATAACCCTTACAGTCTTGCTGGGAGTACTGGGAGTTGCAATATGGTGAGTTATGCTTAGCATTCGCAGAATCAGACAATGGCAGAATTAGAAGGATCATTTTAGGCTATGGAATCCAACCTTATTGCTCAGCACAGGTATTAAATCAATGCATCCTGAACAGATGTTTGCTTGGACAATCCAGCAAAAAGATGTACATTACCTCTCTGGGAAATAGATTCAATTATTGATCATTCTTGCTATTTCCCTCTACATTCAGAAATTTGCTTTCTTACAGCTTTGATCAACCATCCCCTTCCCAAAATCTCCTTAAGGATAAATATACCCAGTTCCTTCTATTTTTCCATTTAACTTTTGTTGCATTCTCTGATCCCAGAGGTTTGAACCCTTCTTGATGTGCAAGAGCAAGATCTGGACCCCGTTCTCCATTCTGGTGGGGAATCACCCATATTTATCGTTCCGTGCATTGTTTGCAACTTGACCTCCTCCAGCTGTTAGGAATGTTACACTTGGGTGCTAAGTTGGAAGAAACTCATGCAGAATATCAATTGCTCTGAGCCCGGGGAAATCGGGCACTGGAATTGCCTAGTTTAATGTTTGAGAGTGAGCTATGGGTTCAATGAACGTCTGATGAAGTCGGAAAATTTCCACAATTTGATAAAGCATTTTTATTGCAGGCCCATTTTATACAACAGCAGTTGGGACTGGAATTCCCATCACTAAGTGATGCAGTCATAAAATGTGGTATCATTTGATTGCACTGCTTAGCATCTTAAATCCAAGATCACACAGGTTGTTAAGTGAGGACCTGATGACTTCAAGCCCTATGGGGGATATTGTGGAGTGTGGGCGAGCCCCACAGGTAAGTGGGTGGGCAATACAGAGCACAGGCAAGCAATAAAGTGGCAGGAATGGAAGCAACTTGTGGCTTCGTGCAGCGTCTCTATTGACTTTGTTTAGGGAAGTCGGCAGGGAAAGTCACAAGTGGTGATTATGTAACTGCAGGACAGTGCAAAATGTAATTGCTGGGCGGTTGCCAAGTGCCCGAATTGTGGTCTTTGACCTTGGGAACACTGCAATAGGCCCAAGGCCCACTGTCTTAACTTTGAGTGGCTGATGAACCAGTGGTCATAACCCAAGGACTACCTGTAGCACTGTTGGGCATGTGATGGGACCATGCCAATGAACCTGACAGCACTTTTGCTGATCAATTTCACTCATGGCCTAGAATGGAGCAGTTTAAGGCTGCACTCATGACTCCTCCATGCTGCAGGTACTGCTGTCGTAAAAAGGCATCAGAAGAAACTGAATCGCAAGATGAAGATGACGATGATAAAGACAATGAAGATGATGGTAAAGACAGTTCAGAAACTTCAGAAAAATCAGAAGAGGCTGCCCAAACTTCTCCAGTAGCAGACTACTCAAGCCCCCCTGAAATCAACATGCCCAGCCCTCCAAGCCCCCCTGAAATCAACATGCCCAGCCCTCCAAGCCCTCCTGAAATCAACATGCCCAGCCCTCCAGAATTCAACATCCCAAGCCCTCCTAGCTTCTAATGATGCCCAAAATTAAACTGTTTACAGTAGGAAAGAAGTGGGATTATTTATCCTCACAACAGTGTGTAAGTTATGGTATTTGATGTTACATTTTTTGTGGCAATCGCTAAGCAATATCATGGTCATTAAGTAAAGCAATGATTTACTGAGCATGGTTTTGCTGAAAACCAGAACTAAGCACCAGTTTTTGGCAAAGCCATTGTAAAAGGCAGTCCTGTGGCCATGAGAGGCCTCAAGCAACCATAAATGCAACCCAACTGCCTGAAGTTCAGTCATGTGACTGCAGGGGTGTGTGGATAATGACCATCAGAACTTCAAATCCCGATCAAAGCTTCTGCTTTGTTTGCATGGGGAGGACAACTTTGTATCCTCATCATGTGTGCAGCCACACAACCTTGGCTTAACCAGTGTTCCTTCCTTTGTAAGGAACACAAAGGAACACAAAGGGGAAAGAGTCATTCAGGAGGGCTCACAGCTCATCAAACACATAGCATGCTTAGTTAGGCTGTTCTCTAGATCAGTGGTCGCCAACCAGTGGGCTGGGGACCAATGGTGGTCCACGAGAAAATTTTGGTGGCCCGCAGAGAAATGTCACCCCCAAAGCAATTAATCTAGGATGCGCGGGAACACAAATGGCCCGTGGAAAACAAGGCTTGTGTCGCTTGCATTGCGAACATGGGGTAGTGAGGGGAGGGGTGAAAGAGCGGAGGGGGGGGAACTTACCCTACTTGCCCCACAACGCCTGTCCTGGCCACCGAGCTGCTTCTTTCCGCTTCTTTCTTCTGCTTTTGGCTGCGCTCAAGCTCTTTCTTTCTCTCCCACAAACTCCGCCAGAAATGAATCTTTGGGATCCTGCAAGGCATCCTGCTCCAAGAGGCTGCGCTGGTGCAACAAGTCTAATTTCTGGCGGAGTTAGGGGGAGAGAAAGAAAGACTTCTGCTGCTTTCCTCACATGAAGCCAAAAGTCTCTCTCTCTTTCTACCCCCGAGAACAGAGCTGGAGACGGTATCCTGCGATCTCAAATAAAGAATGATCGATCGGTAGGAAAACGGGGTGGGGGAAATTTCCTGCAGACTTGTTTTGGGATTTTCCCAGGGTTTCTGGGAAATTATGAGTTTGGTGGTCCCCGAGGTCCAAAAGGTTGGCGACCCCTGCTCTAGATCTCCGGGAATCCTGACTGCCGCCCAGGGAAGCCTTGCGATGGGCAGTGGTCAGAATGCAGTATTGTAGGGTAAACTCTGCCAACTGCCAGCAGTCCGATTCTCACTGGCTCACGGTAGATTCAGACTTCCATCCTTTTGAGGTCAGTAAAATGAGGACCCAAATTGTTGGGGGCAATAAGCTGACTCTGGTAAACTGCTTAGAGAGGGCTGTAAAACACTGTGAAGCGGCCTATGTACGACTAAGCGCTATTGCTATTGCTAAATGAAGCAGCCCAACGCTCCCTCCGCAACCACTTTCCATATAAAGCAAATCTCAAAGGGGCCAAAGCCTTTGGATGCCATAGAAGAATTTCCATTTATTTCATTAATAGCATTTTTTTTTTTCTGAAGCATACCAGAATTGGTGTGGAACCTGGGAGGAGGAAATGGAGGCAGGGGGACAGAGCCAAGGGGGAGGGTCACACACAGCTAAATCACTCCCCACCCCCAACAAATGACACAATGATTCAAATATACTGATATGGGGGGGGGGGGGGGGAGAAAAAACACACCCCCCACGCGGGGGGGGGGGGGGGGGGGGGGGGGGGAGACGAAAGCCGTGCCAGGGGTTGGTTGGGGGGGGGGGGGGGAAAGAACAGATTGTCCTGGGTGCTAACGGGTGCCCCTCCCCAGCATCAAAGAGGGATTTTAAAAAGCAGCAACACATACACATACACGCACGCACACACACACACACAAACACACACAGCCATGACTCCCTCCCCCCACAAGCTTCTGCTGCTGCTGCTGCTGCTATAGAAGGGGTAAAAGTGACCACCCAACATCCCCCCTCCCTCTCTCTGTTCCCCCCACTGATCCGAAGAACATTTCGAGGCTCTTTCGGAGTTGTGCTGGTTGAAGAACAGGTCTCTTGTCTGGCTGTGCGTCTGAGAAACGGCGCTTTCCTGGTGGGCCACAGGATGTCCAACCCACAAAGACACGGAAGGCCGCTGCCACGCAGGCCATGTCGGGAAGGCCGCTGGGCCAGAGGCAGGAAGAGCTTCTCAACTCTGCTGGGCACCGAGCCCCACTGTTTTCAGTAGATTCCTCGGTTGAGTTGGCTGTGGCCTGCAGACCAGGACAGAGAATTTTAGATCCTGCTATTCCAAAATCCAGCAGGGGCTTCAGTCTTTCAGGCCTTCCAAGACACGGGCCAAGAAAGGCTTTCCAGCCCAGTCATGGTGCAGCCTGGGAAGTTTTGCCTTTAAAGACTTTCTAGCCTCTCAGAACGCCTGGCCTTCAGCGGACTCCAGATTCCCCTTCACAGTAGGTTGCGTTGAGTGTTTCAAGGCCTTCCCGGCCATTGACCCACTCAACGCCTTGGTGAGGTCCTGTATTTCCTGCAAAAGGCTATCCTTTCAGGGTCCAGCATTTGCAGAAAGTGGACTTAGGAGGGGTAAGAGGCCTAGAAGCGTGACCTGGTCTGGCATTAAGTTAGTGACATCTCTCTTGATCCTAAGAACAGAGGGAGATGTCTTCTAAGGTGTCAATTGTTCCTGTTACCCCCATACACACACCCCTACTTCCTCAGGGGGGGGAAAAAAAATCCCGAAAAACCGGTCCCAGCTAAGGGGTTGTGGGAGAGAGGGAGGTTGAAGAAGATGCAACAAACATTCAGAAGGGAAGGAAGGGGAGTATCTAAGGGGGGGGAAAAAACCATTAATTTAAAAGGTTGTGTCTTCCATTTATCCAAATAATTTCATCTGGAACATCACGGAGGTAGGGAGTTAGCAATTTCCCTTTCTTCTATCCTTCCACAAAGGAGAGGACAGAGATTGATGAACAAAAGAAAAAAAAAGAAATGAAAAAGGGGAATATCAATATTCCAAATCTGCCATTACCTCCCAAATCTGGATAGGTATTAAAAAAAAAAAAAAGTAGAGAGAGTTCAAATATCATTTATAAGGAGGAGTCCCCCCCCCCCTTTACCCCAGTTCTGCTTCTGTGAATAGATTCCTCCCCACTGAACGGGTCACTGGGTGTGGCCACTGTGGCTCCCTAGACTTTGGTAGTAGAAACGGATCCTTCCAGGTCCCTGCAGAGCAGGGCTGGGGATAAAGGGGAAACCGGTTTGCAGAAAGACTCTCCCGGCCTCCCAACATGGGGGTGGAGGGCCTGCAAGGACTTGGGCCCCTCCCTTTCCTTCCACCTCCCTCCCACCCCAAATCCAGCTGCCCCTGCTCGGTGGCTGCCGTCGGAGGGGCCCCACTGCCAACGGGGAACACAGGGCGAAAGAGGATGTTTGGGTGGTCAACACCGGGCCAAAGGTCCTCCAGTTATAGCAAAAAAGGGTTGGTGCTCCCCAGGGTGGAGGCCGAAGTGCTGCTGGGGACAATGCCGGCAGGGGGCAGGTTCTGAGGGGGCAGCCCCATGGCAGGCAGCCCCAGAGGTGGAACAGCCCCCAAGGGCTGCACTGCCACCATGGGGGAAACGGAGGCTAAGGGCATCCCAGGAGCCATGGGGGATACGGAGACCATTGGAGCTGTGGCAGGAAACGCTGGTGGCGCTGGCTGGCACAGCGGAAGTACCGGACTGACACGGAGCTGATTGAGTGACAGCGGGGTGGCTGCCGCTGCCTGGAATGGATTGGTGGCCGAGGCAGATGGGGCGGGAGCTGAACCTGCAACAGGCAAGGAGACAGAAAAGAAAGGAGCATTACAGAGAAGCCCAGAGGGCATCCTTCTGGCCTAAAAACCCCAGGGGTCTGGCTATCGGGGGAGTTGCTTAACCCTGTCAGAATTCTGAGAGTTGAAATCCACATGTCTTCAAGTTGCCAAGGCTGAGGAACACTGCTCTGATGCAGCGGTTGCCAACCAGTGGGCCATGAGAAAATATTGGTGGGCCGCAGAGAAATCTCACCCTCACAGCACCCCCACCCCCCAAAGCAATGAATCCAGGCTGCACGGGAACATAAGGCTGCACTGCCCACATGGCCTGCAGGAACCCTCCCCGCCCACTCACTCCTTACCTGCTAAATTGTTATTTTTCCGACCATCAGCTGTTCTGGTGTGCCAGGAGATTTAGATTGGCTAGAAAGCAGGAAATGGTTGGATTTCTTGCTTTCTAGCTTGTCTTTAGATCTTTGGCTCTGCTTTTAAGCACAGCCGAACCTCCCTTAGGGCTGGAGGTTCTATTATTCAGGGCAGACTCACGGCAAGCAAATTTGAGAGACTGAGCTAGCTGATGGCAGATAGACAGATCACTGAATGATTCTGTGAGCAACTCAATCTGCCTGCCTGCTTTGCCTCATTTTGGGTAACATACATGATGTGTTGTGAGTTAATTTTGTGAGTTTGCTTGCTAGCAAATTTTATGTGACAAGAGTGAGCTAGCCGATGGCAGATAGATAGATCTCTCAATGAATCTGTGATTCTGTGAGCAACTCAATTTGCCTGCCTGCCTGCTTTGCCTGATTTTGGGTAAAAGTTGCTCTTTTTTAATAAAAAAATCGATATTTATATAAATATTTATAATATTTACATACAAGCCATGCCCAGCCAGTCATATGACCACCAAGCCACACCCACAAATTAGGCCATGCCTAATCAGTTAGTGGTCCCTGGGATTTAAAACTATGAGTTTAGTGGCCCCTGAGGTCCAAAAGTTTGGCGACCCTGCTCTAAGGCATCTTCTAGAAATGTATTTCTCAACCCTGGCAGCTTGTGGACTTCAACTCCCAGAATTCCTGAGCTAGCATGCTGGCTGGGGTATTCTGGGACTTGAAGTCCAAACATTGTTGCCAAGCTTGAGAAACACTGCTCTAGAAGGTTCCACCTGTCAGTCTGGCCCTGCTTAGTGCCAGTAAACCCTGTTCTGTGAATAAATCTTCACAAGGTTTTCCCAATATGGGCCCCCATCGAGATAAAGAAATTTCTACCTTTCTAGTCTTGTAACGTTTTATTTCTTACTGACCCTTTTCAGGGGTGTCAAACTGGCAGCCCATGGGCCGGATGCATCACACACCCATCCCAGCTCCACCAAGGCAAAAAACATCACAATGTGTCGTGTGATGCGATCGAGTTTGACACCCGTGCTTTAGATGCTGAAAATGACACGCATTTCATAACCCACAGCAACCCTTTGAGGTAGGCTGGATTGAGAGACTGAAACCCAATTATCCAGTAAGCCTTAAAGTGAAGTGGGAAGTTGACTCTTGGTCTCCGCAGTCAAAACCTGAACCACTACTCTGAAATACTTTTGGTAATCACACCCTGTCATTCCCACACCAGCTGAGAACAATGGAAGTTTGCTAATTATCATTTTGTCAGGCAGTTAAATTGGGATAAAGCTATTTCAAAAAAGAATTTAAATTTTATTTATTTGTATCCCGCCTTTATTATTTTTTACAAATAACTCAAGGTGGTGAACGTATCTAACACACCTTTCTCCCATTTTCCCCACAACCACATCCCTGGGAGGTAGGTTGGGCTGAGAGACCATGATTGGCCAAAAGTCACTCAGCTGGCTTTCATGGCTAAGGCGGGACTAGAACTCACAGTCTCCTGGTGATTGGTCCAAATCACCCACCCGGTTTTCATGGCTAAGGCAGGACTAGAACTCAGTCTCCTAGTGATGCCCCAAAGTTTCCCTTGAACTCACAGTCTCAGTCTTTTGCTTTCTAGCCTGGTACACCACACAAAACTGGCTAGTCTGATTTCAGGGTTGCTTATACAGTAGTCCATAACATACAACAGTTTCTTTAGTGACTGTTCAAAAAAAAAAACTGAAAAAAAAGTGACATGAACATTTTTCACACTTACGACCGTTGCAGCATTCCCACGGTCACGTCATTTACATTCAAAGGCTTGACAACTTGTTCATATTTATGGCGGTTGCAGTGTCCCTGGGTCACGTGATTACATTTTGCGAACTTCTGACAAGCAAAGTCAGTAGGGAAGCCAGATTCCCTTAACAAATCACGTTACTAATTTAAAAACTGCAGTGAATTCACTTAACAAGTTGTAAAGTGGGACAAAAGAAACAAATTTCTCACTTAGCAACGTAAATTCTTGGCTCAGTTGTGGTCGTAAGTCGAAGACTATCTGTAATTATTTCAAACAAAGACGATTCCTTTTGATTTCTATCTCAGTGAAGTCAGTGCAATGGATCCGAGTTCCTACACTTCAAACCAAGTTTGATTTTTCTTGAGCACAGCAATAAGTAGGAGCCCCTTTATTTGCTCTAAATAGTTCCCACCCACCCCCGACACCCCCAAAGCATGCAAGCCCTTACCAGGTGGGAGGAAGGGGTTCGAAGCCTTGGTGCTGCTGGATGGAGCAGCAGGTTTGCTGACCAGCGAGTCCAGATCAACAAGGGCTGCGTTGGGACCCAGGAATGACTCGGGGGTTTTACGCATTGGCTTGCAGGTCTCTGGCAGTGACCCAGCCACGGCAGCCATATCAAAAGCATTGGGGCTGTCTTTGCCACTGCCAGCCTGAGAAACAGGGACCTCCCCTGCTAAGAGGGACAGTTCGCCTGTGGGACAAGAAATAAGAGAGAGAGAGAGAGAGAGGAGGGGTGGGGAGGGAGGGAGGGAGGGAGGGAGGAGTAAAAATCCAGAATCACAGAGAACATGGACGAAAAACGCAGACTCCGTTTTAAACAGGGCAGTTGGTTGGGCATTGAAGTTTGGTTTATGGCGGTCCACAATCATTTTGCCCTCCTTCCCAAAAGCACAAACTATACCCTCCTTCCCCTAAGTATTAAATTATTTCCCCATCTCTTCCGAACCACATGCAAGAACATGTACTGTATTTTTCGTACTATAAGACACACTCCCCCCCCCCCCCCCCCACACACAAAAAAGTAGGTGGAAAGGCCTGTGCCTTGTATAGTGCGAATGTTGCTGAAGCCCCGCCCACCCGCCAGCCCCCACCCTTCGGCCTCTGCCTCCCAGCCATTTGCCTCCTTGCAGCAAACAGCCTGGTCAGCTTCAGCACAGCCTGATTAAGCATGAGCAGCTGATTGGCGGTTGGATCAGCCGCCCAGAATACCGCCGATCAGCTGTTCCAGGCTACGGGGATCGCCGCCACCCATCGCCACCTCCGTGCGCCCCATTTTCGGCCCGCTCCAAGTGGTGGGGACTGCTGGAACAGGCCAAAAATGGGGTGCACGGAGACAGAAAGTGGGACAGCAATAGGCAGCGCCGCCGATGGGTGGTAGCGATCCCTGCAGCCTGGAACAGCTGATTGGCGGTATTCCGGGAGGCCAATCCAACCGTCAATCAGTTGCTTGTGATAAATCAAGCTGTGCTGAAATTGATCAGGCTGTTTGCTGTTTGCTGCAAGGAGGCAAACCGACGGGAGGCAGAGGCAGGTGTGTTTTTTTTCTTGTTTTCCTCCCCAAAAGCTAGGTGCTTCTTATGGTCAGGAGCGTCTTATAGTCCCCAAAAACACAGCAGTTTGGAAAGCCACTGTCCAAACAAGATTAGAGGAGATAGGGAGGGAGAGAATCAAAGGGAGGAGCATGCAAAATTCCCTCCCATGCCAAGGGAGCTAGAGATCATCTAGTCCACAAACCACAGGCCTGGACAGGTTAGAGGAAAGGGAGGTAAGAGCTGTGTTTCTCAAGCAGGGCAAACCTGAAGATGCACGGACTTCAATTCCCAGAAATCCCCAGGCAGCCATGGAGTTGAAGTCCATACATCTTCAGGCTGCCAAGACTGAAAAACACACTGGGGTGAAGCACTAGGAACCATGCCTAGGAAAGGGAAGTGGGGGGGGGGGGTAGCAAGGCTGACCTGTGCTGCTTCCAGATTTGGGCAGTGCTGGGCGCAGGCTGTCAAAATCAGAGAATTCATCCCTGTCCCTGTCATCAAACTGCTCAAAGCCTCTGACAGCTAGGAGAGGAACAGGGCACAAGAGGGAGGAAGGGGGAGAAGGATTAGCTGGGAGCAGGCAAAAGGCCCACGACTCCAAGTCTGAAGTAGGCGTCCTTCCCTTTCAGCTGACCCAGTGAGAAATATGCTGGGCCCTCCCCCGGCACTTGGTCCCCAAGCCCCTCCTGTTCCCTTCATCCTTACCTGCCATGCCATTGGTGCTAGGCTTAGAAGGGGAGCCCCCCCAGGGATCTGAAAAAGTGGACGCTGGAGTCCAAGGATCAGGAGGAGGAGGAGCAGGAGGAGGAGGCTGTCCTTGGGATGTGGGGACCGTGCTGGAGGACCACGGGTCTGTGGGCGGTGCTGTTGCAGGCCCCACAGAAGTCCCACCTGGGAAGAAAACGAACCGTGCCAGAGGTGGAATTCAAGAACTGCCTGTCTAGCAGTGACGGCCTGTTTGGATCCGAGCGGACAAGGGGAACGAACGCAGCAGGGTTTTGAGAGGGGAGGTGGCCAAAATAATGCTCAGTCGGTGGAAGTTTTAAAGAAGAGACCGAACAGACGTTTGTCCAAAATGGGCAGGTCTCCTGCTTGAGCAGACAGAGGTTTGAAGACCTTCCAGATCTCTCCCGACGCTGCTCTTCTGCGTTCTGAATGGCAGTAGAGGAGAGCATGAATTCCATTGGTCAAACTGCAAAGGGGTTCCTAACGCAAGCGGAGGGAATGGCCTTCCCTGTTAGATAGATTGGTGCTGGACTAGAAGGGGCTCGCGGAAAAGAAAAAGTAGTAATTAAAAATAAGCCAACGTGGCTTCCAAAAAGTGAGCGATCCTCTGAACCTTTTGGAGTTTTGGGACAGTGGGGACAAGTGTGTGGACAAGCTATCTAAGAGATACTGTGCACTTGGGTTTTCAAAAATCCCTCGCCAAGGGTCTTGAGCATGAGCCTTCAAGCATAGCAACCTGGAGACTTGCAGACTTCTACTCCCAGAATTCCTCAGCCAGCATGAATTCTGGGAATTGAAGTCCCCAGGTCTTCAAGTTGACAGGTTTGGAGACCCCTGATCTTGAGCAAATTCAGCTACCATGGGGTTAAGACTGTAGATACGCTCAGGGACTGGTTAAAGAAATGAAACAAGTGGTAAAAATAAATGAGCAATTCTCAGTTGTGCAAAGATGTGCAAAGCATCTGCCCTCCAGCAACAGGTGCCGGGACCAACACTTTTTATTTGATATTCCAATGATCTGGAACGAGGGATAAGTGCTGAAGTGGCTCTGTTTGCTGATGACAGCAAACGCTTCAGAGCTTGGTGTTAAATCAAGAGGTTTCTCCCATTTTGGAGATAAATGGGCTTCAAACAGCAAATGCAGATAAATGTAATTAAATTAAAGGGATGTGTGTTGGCACAAAATATATTTGTTAAAGAGGCCTGAACAGGCAATGACTAACCAGGATCTTGGGGTCAAAGTGAACAGATTGATTTAAAAAAAAATTAATCCAGCATGAGCTTGCTCTAAAAAAAAGAGAAATTTCATTTGTGAAATTATTAGGAAAAACAAGAACTGCCGATTTAATCCAGGTAGTTCTCCCAATCAAAATCGAACTGTGGTTGTAAACTAAGGTATCATGTGACTGGACCTGATTTTTTGACATTTTCTGGCGGACGTTAAGCAAACATGGCAGTCATCAAGATAGTTAAGTAGGGTCTGCGCTGCACCTCTAAGGCCTCTTTCTTTCAATGGATAAAGAAACTGTGTGTGGGAATTGGCTTTTAGGGCAAACCGCAGGGAACCGCTTCATTAGAGGCAGAGGGACGCCATGGTTGTAGAGCCAGGAGGAATCCTGGGAACGACAATGCCCTTCATCCTAGGATTGAAGACGGCCTAAAAGAAGGGCTCACCTAGTCTGGTGCTGACCTGACCTGACTGAAACGTTTCCCCCCCCGGCACCCTTCATGTCTGAAAAGGCCCAGGCAGCCTGTCTGAATCTGCAAAGGGTCAATTCACAGGAAGGTAATCTGTGGGAAGCTGCATGCTGGGAAGGGATAAAGGAAGCAGGAGGGGGCGACAGAACCAAAAAAATGGGATGGTTTCTAATACCCCCATTTTCTTTTTATCACAACTTTCTACTCTACACCAGAGGTGGCTAAGTGTGGCAACTTTACAACCTGTGGACTTCAACTCCCAGAATTCCTGAGCCAGCCCGGAGTTCTGGGAGTTGAAGTCCACAGGTTGCGAAGTTGCCATAGTTATGTACCTCTGCTCCACACTCTTTTCTCTACACTCCACCAAGCAGCTCGTAGCAGAGGAGACAGCTGTCATAAACAGCCTCCTCCACGGGTCTTATGAAATGCAGAGGAACCCCACGTTGCTCACCCCCTCTTCTTAAAAGATCTTTTCAGAAGAGGAACCCCACACAAGGGCATCATTAAAAAGTAACGGTGATGAAGAACGTTTCAAACATCTGATCCCGCCCAGATCTGGATCTTACCTTCGGCCTTCCAGGGGTCAGCAGTGGCAGCTGGGGGGGCTCCCCAGGGGTCCGAAGGGGGTACCGGAGGCGCTGCAGAAGTTCCCCATGGATCTCCTGCAGGGGCTGCTGCAGCAGCAGGGGGTCCCCACGGGTCCGTACGAGCTGTGGGTGCAACTGTGGCAGCGCCACCCCAAGGGTCAGCAGGAGGAGCGTGAGCGCCCCATGGATCAGCAGGTGGTGGAGCAGTGAAGACATCAGCAAGGTCCATCAAGGATGACTGGGTGACGGAGAAAGCAAGAAAGGTTGTAGTGGGGAAGAGAAAAATTGTAGCGCACCTTCGCTTTTCCATTTAACATCCAGTGGTTTCTTCCCTTTCCCTGGTTCATAATATAAGACCCAGTCTTATTTTCTTTTGGGCCCCAAAATAAGCACTAGGGCTTATTTTTGGGGGAAACATAAATTCAGGGTGATTAGCCCACCTGGGTGCCCTGCCCCCAGCACACACAAGCGCATGGAGACTGATGGTATCCAGAAGCAGCTGCAGCTCACCGGTCCCTTGGTCGGCACACTCTGAGACTGCATAGAATGGAAGGCACAGAGCGGAAGGTAGGCGATTCTGACAACCTGTGTGGGCTGCAGGCAAGTTGAGAGACTTGAAGACAAGCCGCCCACAACTCCGGTCTGCCACCACTCGGCTTTCCCGCAATCTTCTCAGTGCATCTGGATCGCCTGTCTCTGCTTTTGCCTGCTGCTTGCACAGATACTTAACTCACCTCTATTGTGAGGGCTGCAGCTGCTGCCAGACACTGTTGGCCCGCGCGCGCTTGCCTCCTCCTCCTCCTCCTCCTATTACGGTCACACCCACCCCCTTCAGTAGGCTTTATTTTTGGAGTAGGACTTATATTAGGTGCAAACATAAACAGGCTGAGGCTTATTTTGGGGGACACACTGTAGTTACTTGCGCCTGACAGGTCCTCTACTTGAGCATTCAGAAACTGCCGGCCAGATACCTCTTGGAGTTGACCCCACGGGGCACAAAGGGAATTGTTTGCTGCTTCACGCTGCTCTCCTCCCACCCACTTTACACCCCTTTCCATGGGAGACCCTGTTTAACTATCACGGTTGGCAGCTCCCAGCCTCACCTCCTCCTTAGCGGGGACTGTCTCCTTTTTGCTCTCTTCAATGGCCATCTGGAGGCGAAGGTCATCCCCGCGTCGGATCCGCTCTTCCTGTAAGAGGATTGTGAAAAGGACAGAGGCATTAAGGGAGGCAGTACAAAGTGACAGGTGGTTACTCACCTCTGTCAAGGAGAGAGCAAGAGCCAGAATATAGATGGAGCAGCAGCTTGGCCAGGTATCAGATCAAGTTTGAAGCATCTGCTACCGTTTCTGTTTTGAAAAGTTATCTTCAGGGGGGAAAAAAAAAACATCCGAGAGAGAGAGAGAGAGAAGTGAGCAAGACGCTGTTCTAACCCTCCAACAAACTAGTTCCTCCCAAATAATTGGAATCCTGAATTTTGGTTGCTTTTGCCAATACTTCATAAAAGTGGAGTCCAAGCGGAAGCATCTTCTGTTCACATTACAACTCCCTCAGGCCCCAAACTAAATATATGACCCTCAAGGTGCCCAGCAATCTCAGCGTTAACTTGTCACTCCGGGATTCCTGCTGGCTGAAACGGGCTGAATTTCTAGTGTTTTATCTTTCATCTACTGGATGAATCCAGCATAATCCAGAGATAACACGCTCAAGGTCTTCTTTTTCTTGCCTTTCCACTTCACCTTCGGATGAGGTGAGAAAAGACACCCGAAAAGACATCAAGAATTCCGACTCTTTGTCCCAAATGGGCTTCTTTTTCAATTGAGCGTCTGATCCCTTTTCCCCATCACCAACTCATAGGTACGTTTTCTTCCAGGACATTGTGTCCAAGCTTCTGCAGACGCTCATCAAATGTTTAGAAGGCCTGAGTTCAAGGCATAGCTCGGTCAAGCTTAAGATACCTGGATTGACCGGTTTTTCTTACCAAGCCTCTCCCTGGGAGAAACTTGGAAACTGGCCAACTGAAGAATGGATAATTCACCAGGTAAGCGGACAATAAGTGAGGCCTAAAGCTGAAAGAGAGATTGCCGCCATCGCTCTGCTTGGGTGGGGACTTGGGGAGACAGAGAATGCCACGTTAGTTAGGAGAGTGTGAGAGGTCAAGACTAGCTCAAAGAAAGTAGTTTAGTTGGTTATTTCGGGAAGATCTGAGCGGGGTGGCATGATAGCAGTCTAACCTTGTCGTGCTCCTCTTTGCTCAAGCTAAGGGCTAGCTGGAGCTGTAGGTCTTCGTCGGCCACTGCAGGGGGCTGGGAGGGAAGAAACACAACATAAGAGGCATGGAATGGAGTTTGACACATGGAGAGGAAGGAGGAGAAGACAGACAGACGAAGGGTGTCTCCAATTCTCAAAACTATTTCCACATTGGGTTGCAAAAGCCCAGTCCGATCAACTAGCCCATCACCGCCCAGATTTTGAACTGCCCAATGTATTTAGTTTCTGAAAGAATATTTATACCTCAGGATTGAACTGTGGGGTGCTTGGTGCTCTCCGAGCTTGGCAGTTTTCTTGCAGATATTTCATTACCCAATAGGATAATACTATCAGTGTAAAGCCCCTTCTAGCCGTGATGATGTTACCTAGTTGGGTAATGAAATGACTGCAAGATAACAACCAAGCTCAGAGAGCACCAAGGACCCACATAGAGTAATTCCATTTCCCTGAAAATTGGCTGAACCAGTGCTAGGTATACTTGCAAGGTATAACTTCTCTTCCTGATTACAATTCAACATCCTCACAAAAATTTCAAAAGCACTCCAAGCCTGAAGTAGTATTCTAGTAAGCAAAAGTAAATTGTATTGGAACTGTATCATGATATGTAGAAAAATATGTCTGCACAGGTCCAAGAATCAGTAAAATACCATCACTTTCCAACCCTTTAGGCAGGATCACCCTTCCCAATCAGGTATGTTCACATATGATGGACATCTACTTCCATAAATGATGGGAACTGAAATCCAACCCCTCTAGAGAGACACCAGGTAGAGAAGGCTGAAATTCAAATGAACAGACTATAAAGAAACCAAGTTCAAGAGAACTGTGATGCTCATCTGTCAGCTCTCCCTATGCTTTTCCAACACAGTGGAACAAGGGCCACAACCTGATGGTATCTAGAAAATGGGATGCCTTCTCTGTGGGAGATGAAAGACATATTTTTATGCGAGTCTCCATGTCTGTGAAGCATCAGCCTGCTGGTAGCTACAGGGAATCAGAAACTGGATTTGGTAAGTGAGCTGTGAGAAGAGAGGAGGAGGGAAGAAGTTGGCCAATATTCACTCCTTCTATCTATAGGCACAGGAGAAGGGAAATCTCCTTCCACAAGCTCTATGGCAGGGGTGTCCAACCTTGGCAACTTTAAGCCTGGAGGACTTCTGGGAGTTGAAGTCCTCCAGGCTTAAAGTTGCCAAGGTTGGACACCCCTGCTCTATGGAGAAATATTTCTCCCTATCCCAACTTTCCAACTTTCCTGATCACATCGTCCCAAGCCCTCAAATAAAAAAGGAATCACTTTTTCACACAAACATAACAGAGGCGGAAAACTGATGGGGTCAAGAGGAGGGAAAATAGACCATGCTATGGGCTAGACTTCTCTCTCTCTCTCTCTCTCTCTCTCTGTGTGTGTGTGTGTGTGGTCCTGTTACCTAGACATCTTTCCTTAATGCAAACAGAATTTTAAAAAACCTAGCACAATGGCACAGATCTTAATTAATATCTCTGTGAGAATTTATTTGCTTTCCCTTTATGAACAACAGGGTGGAGGAGGAGGAAATGCGGCATGGGGGGGGGGGGTTTCAAGGGAAACGGGAAGGAAGTGCCAAAAAATAAACAAGGAGCTGAAAATAAGAGGACAAAGTGGGATGGGGTTGTTGGGGGAGGAGAGTGAGCACAGGGGACCCAATTCCTCTGGAAAGAGCCACAGGGACAGAAAGGAGCTGACAAGAGGGCCCTGAGGGAGGAGTCTCAAAGGTGCTTTCTTCAAAAGGCAACTGGACTTTTCCTTTTTTCCTTGAGGAAGAAGAAGAAAATGTTTTACTTCTCGTCCAAGAAGCTTCATCAGTTCAGGAAAAAAAGCACCTTTGAGACAACTATGACCTGGAAGATTGGGAATCTCCACAGACAACTGGGAAGGAGGCGAATGCTTGGAGAGCCATGTTGGAAGTGCCGGAACAGCCACTCCGCTCAGTGATGGAAACAGACAGTGGTTGGACAGCAGAAGTCCTGAGGAGAATTAATCATCACCAACAGAGTCTGGGGCTTCGCTTCACCTAGGCAGAGTGCGTGAGCGCATCTTTTTCCCCAAGAGTGGTCCATTTGGTGGAGAAGGCAGGCTTCTTAGGAGAGGGAGGGGCTATGAAAACTACAACAGAGGAAAGGTAGATAAAAGTGCATCGTTAAACCAGGAGTTTCCAATCTCGGCAATTTTAAGACTTGTGAACTTCAATTCCCACAATTTCCCAAGCCGACCATGGGAGTCAGCGCCACCGATATGCAACATGAAGCTGTACAATGCCTTCCTAGCCGTGGCTGCCTCCTTGAGTGGGAGCCACCAGTCCAGGGAGACCTCCAAACTGTGCATGGGATCTGTCTTTGGCAGGGTAATCCCATCTGGAACAAGTGATGGAAAGTCCCCAGAACAAGGGGATCCTAAAACCTAAAGTCACTAGGGTTGAGCCAAAGTTTATTGCTCTCCATCCAGTCTCCCAACATCAATAAGACCTCCACAGCATCGCTCAGATGGCCCAGAGTGGAGATATATAGCTGGGTGTCATCTGTACACTTATGATACACCTCACCCCAAATAAAAGGATGATCTCACCCAGGGGCTTCATGCAGACATTAAACAGGAGAGAAGAAAGCACTGAGCCCCATGTAGGGGGAGCCACAGGCTGGGGGTCTCCTCCCCTACCCATATAAACTGGAACCAGCCCCGGAGGAAGAAGGAGAGACAGAACACCCCCATACTGCCCATCCCACCGCTTGAAGCTGATCCAGAAGACTATCGTGACTGACTTTACTTCCAGTGGCATTGGAAGATTTCTGGACAGCAATTCATCCCTTATCTTGACCAAATGCATTACAAAATACTTACTTCAAAGCTCGATTATGCTCAGAACAATCCCTATCAACATTCAGCTTCCTTAGCTGGCTCCAGTCAAGACATTTTAAACAGGGATCATACTCTTAAGAGGAGCAACAGCTGAAGGAACTGGCAGTATTAATCCCCTTCCACAACTCTCTCTATCCCGCAGGCATAATTGTTAAACCAGATCCATGACTCTCAACAGCTTCAAGTCTGCATCAGTCTGTTCTGCACATAACACGAAGCCATAATATGAGAGCTACAGTCCAACACATCTGGAAGGCATCAGATGAGGGAAAGCTGCCTAATAAAACAGCCTATTTTAAAAAAATATTTCTTCCTCAAATCGGACTCCCTCTAGACATTGCAATCTACCGCAACTATCAGCCCAAGGCCACATGATCCATGTTCTGAGATGATAAACTTTTAAACCAAAGCATCTGTCAGAACCTGGGTTGAAAAAAGGCCCCCTAAACCTTATGATTTTTGGCTCTTTTTGATTAATTAGTGACACACACATACATTCTACTGCTGCTTTTTGGTGCAGTTGTCATTCAATTGGGCACTGGCCATTTACCTAAGAGCCCTTTTAAGCCCCTTCAGCATCAGCCTATGTGACAGCTTCAACTCAAATCATTTGATTTGAAGGCAATTTCAAATCAATTTTCTAAACTGATCTGATCTGAAAAATCAATGCATAAAATCCATTTGATTATTCAAACTGAATCCAAGCTGATTAAAATAGCCTTCAGAAAACAAAATAAAATTAATTTACCCTTTTAAAACCTTTAAATGATTAAAACCAGAGACTTCCTCACTATCATCTTTTTAAGCTTTTTAATTTTTGAATTAAAAAATAGGGCAACAAATGCACAGCAGAATTGAAAGTAATTAATCATTGCTGATAAAGCAGCAGCATAATACAGTGGAAACAAAGTTGAAGATCAGCAACCGTTTGAAATTACAACAGCAGTGAGTGAATGTTATTGCCCAGTCCCCAAAGATACGGCCATTCCACTGCCCCTGCTGTGATTATGTGACCAAAATTCAGGGACTTTGTAGACCACCACCAACAAATAACTGGAAGGGTGCTTTTCAACTCCTCCCTACCTATTCTCTTGGCACCATCTCTGCCATTTTGGCTGCCCTGCCCTCCACCAGCTCTGTTGGTCCTGCCACTCTGGGTTCTGCAGGCCCTGGGCTCCATTTAGCCTGCCAGCCTGCATTCCCCTCACCCTGCCAGCTCCGCTGCTCCCAGCTGGCCTTCCCCATCCACTTCTTCAATCCACTGTTGACAAGGCGCATCTGGCCTGGCCCTTCATGATGTAGCTGCTGGCCGTGCTAGGCTTTCTTCCCAGGGCCACATGCAGCCTTGTCCAAATCACAGCTGGCTTTCCTCCCAGGTGGTGGACTGTAGGGTGGCCAAAAACGGCAGAGATGGGGGGGGGGGAGATAGGTGGTGGGGGAGCCAAAGGGGCAGTCCCTTCGGTTACTAAGGCTCAGGGCTGGGAGGGGCCAAGCCAGGAATGCCTTGGATTGGGGTGGGTCCTTGCCTAACGAACTTTGGGATTCTATTAACAATGGGAACTGCTGGGATTCTCATTGCTGAACGATGAGGTAAAGTGATATTGTACTTTATGACTGTTCATTCAGTGGCAGGAATTTAGATCCCAATTACTGTTGTAGCAAAAAGAACACCTGTATTTATTTTTTGGCACTGAACAACCATCAAAAGGAGGTGAGTCATTGAATACCTGGGGTTTACCATTCATAAACCTTTTTTTCTCATCAGAGGTGGTGGTGGTGGAACTTTAAAAATGATCTCAAGTGCCTAAGCACAGTGGTCCCCAACCTTTCTGGCTATACAGACCAGCGGCGGGGGGGGGGGGGGGAGCCAGGAAGGGGGGGGGGGGGGGGGGGGGAGACAGGAAATGGTTCCGTGTGAGTGGCAGGCATGCACACACACTTGGGGGCACAGCTTCATTTGCACAGGCGAAAAGGCAGGCCCTTGTGCAAATGGAGCTTGCCTGCTGCTTGCATGGCCCAGTTCTGAAAGAGCCACGGCCCAGTACTGGGGCGCAGTGGTGGGGTTGAGGACTCCTGCCTAAACAGAGAGGTGAGGAAAGGCAATCCTTCAGGTACGAGACCTAAAGAGGGAGGGCCTCTGCACAGAGCCTGGGAGGAATCATTGGCTGCTATCTTAGTCTGCCTAGCTGTCCTACACACAAAGGGAGCCTTCTTAGAGCTTCCGATGTTACTCAGGTGGGGTTACATTTACAATCAGAAAATTATAAAAGGAAGTGAGATCAGGCTATGTTTTGAGATTAGATTTAATGCAAAGTCCACAACATCACTCTCCAGGGTGGAAAATAAATAAGGGAACAAATTTTAAAGCCTGCAGGCTCTATCTCTGATTCTCTTCATGGCCTGTAGCCATGTTCCTCAACCTCAGCAACTTCAAGTGTGTGGACTTCAACTCCCAGAATCCCTCAACCAACATTCTGGCTGTGGAATTCTGAGAGTGGAAATCCAGAGCCCTTAAATGTGATGAAGTTGAGACCATTGAGCTAGAAGAATAACCTATGCAAGTCTACAGCTGCTCAATTTTTCAACCAGCTAGACTTTGAGGTGGGGAGAGGAAACTTCTGTAGTTGTTTTTTCCTACAGAGAAAAAGAAGAATGGCCCCAAATCAAAATAGTATTCCTGATCTAATAAAGTTTTATATTCTTCCACGTGACAGTTCTTTTAAGCTTCAATAGATTCAAAGGCGAATTTTCACACCAAATAACAGCCCCCCCCATTGAAATATACAGTATTTTATATCCCATCAATGATTCTTTGCCCCCCTCTGTGAATCCAAAGAGCCTCCAGTGGCAGATTTACCTTGGCGCTTACCTGCTCCGCTTCCTCTTTACTCATGGCCAGTGCCAGCTGCAGCTGCAGCTCTTCTTCCCCGCTGCTCTGGGGCCACGCTTGCTCTGCTTCTACTGGGGCATTTGCCAAAGATGATGAAGCAGAAGAAGCTGAAAAAGGAGAACAGGACAGGAGACGGTTGGTCCAGAATGAAGATCTTTCCAACCTCAGTTGAAGGACCAAAGCAAATCTGTATGGATGACGTTGCAGAAAGGAGATGACGATCGATAAGATATTTCTCCTGAACAAATGCAAATACACAGCCTCTCGCTCCGTCCTTATCTGGGATTGCCTTTAGCATCAGAACTTGATCAATTTTACGGCAAATCTATGTACCCTGGTGGTGCAGTGGTTAGAGTGCAGTATTGCAGGTTAATTCTGCTGACTGCGAGGGGTGCGATCCTGACTGGCTCAAGGTTGACTCAGCCTTCCATCCTTCCAAGGTTCTCGGTAAAATGAGAACCCGGATTCGTTGGGGGCAATATGCTGGCTCTGTAAACGCCTTAAGAGAGAGTTGTAAAGCACCGTGAAGCGGAATATAAGTCTAAGTGCTACCGCTATTGTGGTAACTTTCATGAAGTACCACATTTTCATTTACGATTTGTTCATTACATTTCTCCTACAGCTGCAGAGCCGGAAGTGCAGGTTAGCAAGATGATCCAGAGTCCAGAGGAAATACTTAAAATCATCTAACATTGATAATCACTAATCAAAACAACAGAAGAAGTAAGAAACATAATTGCAGAAATAGCTAAAAAGCCTTCAAGACTAAGCAAATCCCAGTATGGGTTGTACAGCATGTCTCCGTTTCCTAAGTTTTGAATTCCATCTGGGATCCAGTGCAAACAAGATCCTGCAATTCCAGGCTTGAAGCAGCTGGTCCCTAGAGACGGCTGAACAGACTCAAAGACTCTGCTTCACATTTTTCTTCAGCCATCAAGCTTACTATGAACAGTCATTTTCTGGATTATCTATCTGGGGCTTTCTGGAATGATGAAGTAGGGCAAAGATTTATTTTTTTTCATTAAGTTTCACCACTATTTAAAATAACCCCATAAAAACATTAAACTAAATGGACAGTACAGACTAAAACAATCTTACAGACAACAGAAACAAAACAAGGCAGGGATCCTAGGCAAGTAATGATATATCAACTGCAGTCTTAGGACCAAAGCCAGATTTTTGAAGCTTTCTGGAACCCTGGGAGAGAGGGAGCCATCCTTATCTCTGGCGGGATGCTGTTCCAGAAGAGGACAAAGCGTATTTTCTTGGTCTCCCAAGAGGACAATATTTAATAGAAGGGGATCTGGAGTGCACCTACTCTGTCAGAATGTATTTTGTGGGCAGAAATGACTGGAAACAAGCAGTCATTTCGATATTCAGGCCCTATGAGCTATCCAGAGTCCCATCTCCCAGATGGGGTTCCTTCAAAATGAAATGAGGTGATTAAACTGTTCTTTATTGCAATTTAAAGCACTATTTCAAAGACACAGTGCTGATCAACAGCATGAAAATGTCCACTAATTAACTCTAGCTTATACACAGAAAGCCAATGGGCTCTACAATTATTTTATTTTAATAAAAAATAGGGAAAGATGTAATAGAACAGAAAAGCTGGAACTCGTGTAGGTTTTTATATGTATTTCTCCTCCTGAAATTACAGATAGTCCTTGACTTACAACCACAATTGAGCCTCAAATTTATGTTGCTAAACAAGGTAATTGTTTAAGTGAGTTTTACCCCACTTTTTAATGACATTTCTTCCCACAGTTATTAAGTGAATCACTGCAGTTGTTAAGTTAGTGACATGGCTGTTAAGTGAATCTGGCTTCTCCACTGATTTTGCTTGTCAGAAACTCGCAAAAGGGTGATCACACTGCAACCGTCGTAAGTAGGAGTCACTTGCCAAGAGTCTGAATTTTGATCACATGACCACAGGGGTACCTCAATGGATGTAGGTGTGAAAAATGTTCATAAGTCACTTTTTTTTCTTTTTTTCTTTTTAAACAAACTTTATTAATTATACAACTAAAATGTCAAACGAACTCATACACAACACACAGAAAAAAAGGAAAAAGGAAAAAAACGATTAAAAACTAGCAATTTTATTATCGACAGTCTATGGTTCCTTGTTTGTTATCAATATTGGTGATATATTTACAAATACTTCTTATTGCGAGTATATGATTACTACCTCTTTTACATTTTACATTGTTTACTAATATATTTTCTATTTTTGTTCTATCCAGTTATACCAGCATTCCCAGCTTCTATAATATTCTGATGTTTCTTTTTCCTTAAGTGCTAAGGTTAACTTATCCATCTCTGCACAGGCTGTTATTTTCTGAATGACCATTTCCTCTGTTGGGATATCTGCTTGTTTCCAACACTGTGCAAAGGTTATTCTAGCTGCAGTAAGAATGTGCAGTATTATATATTTGACTTTTTTAGAAATTTGTCTATTAATATCCCCAATAAGAATAATTCTGGTTTTAATTCAATTTGCTCCACCGTTATTTCCCCTAACCATTTTTTTATTCTATGCCGGTATCTTTGGGCTTTGGTGCAGTACCACCACACATGAAAGAATGTTCCGTGTTTCTTTTTACATTTCCAGCAATTCGGATTCATGTTAGGAGACATTTTCGCAATTCTCGAGGGCAAGAGATGCCATCTATAAAACATTTTATAGGGATTTTCTTTATATGTTGCTGATTTTGTAATTTTATTATTCCTTGTCCAGAACTTTTCCCATTCTAATAATGTAATGCTATGTCCTATGTTTCTACTCCAAGCTATCATGTTGCCTTTGACTACTTCCTCTTCTAATTCTATCTCTAATAAATAATTATAAAATTTAGCTATATATTTTTTTATCTGGGCCTAATAGGATTTTATCTAATTGTTGTAGCTTAGCATGAATTCCAAAAATTTTCTTGCCCTGGCTATATCTATTTTGAATTTGCAAATAAGCCCACCGGTCTACTTTTAGCCCTTGTTCTTGGAGATCTTGCCATGATTTTAAAGTTCCTTGCGCATTAAGAAGGTCTTTGTATTTTATCATTTTATTAAGATCTAGATTATTTGGATGTATCATCACCTCCATCGTTGAGATCCAGATTGGGATTTTTAAATAATGTTTTTTTTTGTTCCAATTAGCCAATAAGGAATCTCTAATTATATGTCTGTGGAAATACTTCTGTTTGATTTTTCCAGTGCCATCCCCTCTGTAAGTCATGGCCTTCTAGAAATAAGATTCTTTTATTCAACAGATTTACCCACTCTTTCAACCAAAGTAAGGAGGCTACACTATAGTATAATTCCCAATTTGAGAGTGCCATACCTCCCCTGCTCTTCATATCTTGCATTGCCTTTAGGTTTATCCTCGTTTTTTTCCCTTGCCAAATAAATTTGGTGATTATCTTGTTAGTTCCACAAAGTAATTTTTATGTAATTTTATTGGTATTGTTTGGAATAAGTAAATAAATTTGGGTAGAATGTTCATTTTTATGGTGGCAATTCTCCCTAATAAGGAGATTTGCAACTTAACCCATATCTCTAAATCTTTTTTGACTTGCTGTAATAATTTATTATAATTATTTTCCATTAGAGTTTTGCATTGAGCCATCAATCAAATTCCTAAGTATTTAACTAAGTATTTAACTTTTTTTACTATTTGTAATCCCATTATCCTTTCCAATTTTAGTTTTTGTTTTTCTGTTAATTTTTTAGTTATTAATTTCATTTTTTCCTTATTAATTTTAAGTCCTGCAACTTTCCCAAATTGATCTAACTCTTTCAATAGTTCTTGACCTGTTTCAATTGGTTCCTCTATGAAAAATACCATATCATCTGCAAAGGATTGGAGTTTATATTCTTCTTTTATAATTTGTAGTCCTTTTATTCCTGGATTCTGTCTAATTCGTGTAAGCAATGTTTCCAAAGATAATATGAAGAGCAGGGGAGATAGTGGACACCTCTGCCTAACTCCTTTCTCTATTTTTATTGAGTGCGTGTACTCTCCATTAATTATAACATTCGCCTTTTGTGACTCATAAATTGTAGTCACAATGTTTTCAAATTTAGTGCCTCAATTCATATTGTGAATTTGTTGGATTAGGAATTGCCAATTTAGATTGTCAAAGGTCTTCTGTGCATCCAAGAATACAAGGGCTATTTGTTTTTCTGTGTGGGCTTCGTAGTATTCCAAAACATTTAATACTATTCTTAAATTATTCCTGATTTGTCTATTGGGAAGAAATCCGTTTTGATCTTTATGTATATATTCATTCAATATTTTTTTAATCTATTTGCTATAATTGTGGTAAATATTTTATAATCATATTTAACAGGGAAATTGGTCTATAATTTTGTATAAGTCGTAAATCTGAATCTTCTTTCAGAATCAGCGATATCAGTGTCTCCTTCCATGAATCCGGCATTCTTGCTGCTAGTAGGACCTCATTATATACTTCCACCATGAGAGGTCCTATTTGTTCTCCTATTTTCTTATAAAGTTCCCCTGGTATCCCATCGGGTCCTGGGGTTTTATTGTTCTTTTGGTTTTCTATTGTTGTTTTTAACTCGGACCACGTAATGTCTCTAATTAACATTTCCTTCATCTCCTCCTTGATTATTTTATCTTTAGTAATACCCAAATAGTTTCTTATCATGTCCTCATTTACCTCCTCCTTTTTATAAAGATCTTCAAAAAATTTACATGCAATTTCTTTTTTCTGTTCTATTCCTTGTTGGGCATCCCCGTTCTCATCTATTAATTGGTAGATCAATCTTTTTTGTTTTTCTTTTTTAAGTTTGTAGGCCAACCACCTTCCTGGTTTATTGGCCTGTTCAAAAAATATCTGTCTAGCTGTATTCAACTTTGAAACCATTCCTTCTTGTTTGATTAAATTTAATTTATGTTTAGTTATTATCATCTGTTTTTTCAATTTACAATCTTTTGGGGTGTTTTGCAGCTGAATTTCTAATTCTTTGATTCTTTGTTCTAATTTATTTTGTTGGGCATATTTTTCTTTATTTCTTTTAGCGGTATATGATATCATTGTGCCTCTTATTATTGCCTTCATTGTATCCCAAATATTCTGTTTCG